AGATTTAATATTATTAATAAACTTTTTAATTTATTTTAAAAAATGTGATGTATCAGAAGTGATGATACGGCCTATATGTATATTTATTAATATAGTTTAGTAACAACTATCATATCATTATCTGAATATTCAACATTATCATTGGTCATCCCTCTTTACTATATATTGCTTAAAAGACTCAAAAAAGCTTAGCTAAAGAATAATATACCTCAATAGCTAATACAAGGATATGAAGCTGTAACTACTAAGCTTCTAGATTATTATCAAAAGACAAATATATTGCATCTCTTGTCTATAGTACTAGCCTCACAGCTTAAATTTCAGTATTTTGAAGACTTTAAAATGTTAATGCAACTTACAACTCAAATTAAAGATGTGTTAGTTTTTGATTTAAATACTGCAGAGAAAAAACCTGTAATAAATATTTAAATTATCATAGTAGCAGACTTATCATATGATAAGTTCACTACTATGAAAACTTAAATATTTACTTTGCAGGTTTTTACCCTGCAGCACTTATTTGTTAAGTAAAATATGCAATAGATATAATTTATTAATTTATGTATACTATTTTATAGAATTAAAAATAAATATGAAATAGCTAATGTAGATTAGTTTTATTTTTGTTGTAACATCATATATGCTTTCTCTTAATAAATGAAGGGTAAGATCACCTAAGTTAAAAAAAAAATAAAAATAAATATAAAAATCAATATATACCTGTTCTTAGCTAAGAGCCAACAGACTTAATTATTGAATTATCTGTGATGAATATATTATTACAAATTTACAAATAAACACATTATGAATGTCAGAGTGAACTTGATATATACCTAAGTATACCACTTGCTGATTCAAAAGTAGATATTTTAGAATGGTAGTAGCTAAATAAAGCTAATTATCCAAATCTTTTAAAACTCGCTAGAGACTACCTTCTAATACCTGTTACAAGTATTCCAAGTAAGCAGGTATTTAGTATCAGTAGTGATATGATAACTAAAAAGTAAAATCAGTTAAATAAAAAGACAGTGCAAAGGGCAATATGTTTAAGATTATAGTGGAGAGAACTAAATGAATAACATAAGTATCTACTTTAATATTATTTTATATAATACTTATAATAATATACAAGCTACTCTCATTATAGTGAACTCTTAATATAGTATGACTAATTAAAATCTTATTACAGTAAAGTTAAGCTCAAACCAATCTATATAAAATTCTCTTGATATAGTGAATTTTAAAAAAATTCAATTAATTGAATATATTACTTTACTATAATGAGAGTGACTTATTAATACTAATTTTTCTTAAATAATATTAAAGTCATATTTTTTAAAGCAGACTTTATTATAGTATCAGATATATTTAAATAGAAAAATATTTAATTTTTTTTTTTTCTACTTAGGCAATCTTGCCCTTCATTTTATTAGGAAAATCATCAAAAGATAATATAGACAATATAAAATACTACATCTCGACATAATACTTTACTACTCTCCTTATTGCAATTTAGGACTAACTCAGCTATCCAAATAGTACCTAAGTTCGATCTACTGCAAAAGTATTTTATTTCCTATTAGTAACATACTATTAAAATAGTATAGGTTACTAATAATCAAAAAAAGGCAACTTCTAGTTCACATCAAGATCCTAGGTCTCTTCTAATCTAATCTAAGACTAAACTAAAAGTTGTTAATATCTAGTCCCAAGATAGAAAAAAATAAAAATTGTTACGAATAATGAAAAGTAGAAAAGCTACACACTATAAGAACTTAAGCTAGAATAGCAAGAAAAACTTGCTAACAAGTAAAAAGCTTACTATCTAAGTATAGGCAAAAACAAACAAAAAGGAAAATAAAACGAACAGAAATTTTTTTTTTGATATAAAAAGAAAAAAGAAAAAGAAAAACCTAAAGTAGTTCCACCTAAAAGCAAGCTCAAAGGCAAGCACCACTATTAAAAATTATATATACTGTTGCTACTCATATATATATCTCTATAATATTAACTAATTCCATCAAGTCTATTTCTTACTTGTCTAACAAGGCATAGCTTCACATAATCCTCTAATAAAGATGTCAACAAATATTAACTTGTAGTATGTAGCTATACGTGTTTGCGAGTTGTTGTTGTTTAGTAGCATACAATATAATTTTCCTAAAATAGATATAGTATAAATGTAGATCTTTTGGCAGAGTAAGCCAAATTCCTACTTTTTACTATTAAGAAACAAAGAAAAATATTTCTAAGTTCAAAAGTTTAGTTATTATAAATAAAAGAAGTAGTTCTTTAAAAAAACAAAACTAAGAGAGTAGTTATATGCTTGACCTAGTACAAGCATAGTTGGAGTTCTTCTTATACTTCTTCTTTTCACTATTAACACCTTTCTACTAAACTAATTTAAAGTCATTTTACTAAAGTCAGATGGCCAAAAAGCCTAGTATAACCTTGAAACTGACTTGTTGCAGTTCTTGCTACTGGCTTATTGCAGCTCCATAGTTTATTTTTCATGTAGTTAGTTACTTTAAGTAGTTTTATTAAGTAGTAGTGTAAGAAAAAAATTTTTTTTGTCTTGTTGTTTTGGTTTTGATGATCATCAGAAAGAGTTTTAATAAGAAAAGTATTTAAAATCTTTATAATAAATATTCTTTTAGAACTATATAATTTATATAGTTCTGAAGAGTTATTTATTAAAGTATATTTAATATTTTTTTGTAATTTACTAATATAATTTTATATCTTTGATCTAGATCTTTAAAAAAAAGTTCTAGAGATGGTATTTATAAAGTCATGCTAATGTTGCTTCATGAGTTTTATTAATAACAAGATAATATATTTATTATTTTGAAATTATTATATTTTAGAGAATTAGACAAAGACTTTTTGTTATAAATTTAATTTTGGTTTTACAATAAAGATTTGTAATAATTGCAGCTATATTTACTTCTGAAGTATTTGATTATTATAATAAATTAGTAATGCAATAATATTGTAATAATTAATATTCATTAAGTTATACTAAGACTTAAATCATATAAATTTATAAGTATTTAAGTTATCACTTTTGCGAACTTATTATATTATACAAAATATAATAAGTCTGCTAAAGTATTGACTTAAAAATTTAAGATTTTTACTTTTATTATTAAAGTCTTGTTTTTCTTTAATATATTTATAGTATATAACAGGAATGATAAATGATCCAAACGACAAAACTCTTTCCAACGATCCTTTTTTCCAAAAATTCGGAAAAGCCAAAAACAAAAATTTATTGGAGATAATGATGAAGAAGGCTTTTTTACAATACAACGGTTTTTATAAAGGTCAACTGGTGCTTCAGGAACTCCTCTATATATTTAACATGCAAGCTAAAAATGATATTATACAAGATAACTAGCAGGTAGAGCCCTTGTATAAAAAATTTTAGTAAAGAGATGAAAAAAAGCTCTTTGTTAATGAAGTTGGTAAAAGAAGACTTAAGAATAAAGAACAATAAATTATTTTGTCTATAAACTCTTTTAGGCCTCAAAAATAATAATATACTGCAAGCTTTTTCTCCTCCAGTCTTCCTTTTTTTTGACAAAAAGTAAGGAATTTGGTTTGCTCCCTACAAAAAATCAGTATTATTTACTTCTTCCATTTTTAGAAATACTTTATGAATATGCAACCTCGTGCAGTAAACAAAGTTACATACTTTGTTTACTTGTTTAGTCTTTTATGTAACCTCAGTGCTACAGATCCTAAACTTTAAGGATAGATAATATCAAGCTTAGAAAATTAAGTAGAATTTTTTTTAAAGTTCAATATATAACAAGTAGAACACTACATGTTAACAACCTAATAAAGTTTTATGATAAGACTATCAAAGGAAAAAAAAATAATAATAATAATTAGAAAGAATATAATCTTGAAAACTTCTTTAAACTCAATAACAACTTAAAAGCAAAACATCAAGAAGATTCTGATAACAAAACTATCCAAACTAACAAACCAGAAATAAATATGAGTAACCAAGCTATATAAGAAGTTGCTGAAGCTATGACTACCCTAGCTAGAGCTCTAGGAGCTGATGGTAAAAAATCTTTAGTCAAAATAAAATCATTTTGTAGTGACAGTACTCAAGACCCTATAACATTGATTCACCTCTGTTACAAAGAAATAGTTAATCAAATTTATAATAGTGGGAAAATGTTTTCTCTAGAAAAAAATACCTACCTAACAATTTCCATGCCCTCTATGTCTAAGAAAGTTTTATCAATAAACGACCACACATGTAGCATGATCCATGTTTCAAGGTGATCCTTTGCGAGATGATTCGCCTCATATTCAAGCACGCTATCATTATAACAACATCCTTAAAAATCATATGCATTACAGTATGACACGATCAAAGTTATATTTACAGATTATATATAGTATTGCGTATCCAGTCATAATCGAAATTTTTTGACTGATCGAATGGTTGATCACGTAAATCAGAGCGAAAGATCAATTCTCGCAGGTCAGAAGTATTGGACTATTTGATACATTGTCTGAATAAGTTATACAATGTGAAGAACATTATAAAAAAATACTAACCTTTCGGAAATTATTAAGATACTTTAAAAGATCATCCGGCATTAATGGTAATTCTTTCTTGTTAAAATTTTTAATTTCTTCTAATTCTTCACGTGTGAAGATGCCTTGCTGTATATAGTTCTTGTCGTCCGAGTCGATTAAAAAAGAATGACAGAGACTTTCATAAAGTAAAAACAAATGAACATTAAATTGCGAAAAAATACGCAACGAGTAAATGCTTACTGTTCGTGTAAGCATTTCGTTCCAAACACGTATAATGCATCTTCAACAATTTTTCCGGTTGACAAAGTCCATTTATCTTCTTTTGGAATTTTTTGATATTTATTCGTAAATTGTTGATACGCAGTTGAAGTCATTTTTATAGCATCGTCGTTGTTAGCTTCCTCGACATTCACATCTCCTTTACTGGATTTGATCTGTGCACATCCAAATATAAAAAAAGGTGAGAAGAAATTTTTGCGGAATTATTTACAAGTATTCAATGCTAACCTTCTTTGCCCCCACAGGGGAATTAAATCTGAATCTAAAGTGCTATCAAAAGCACGTTTATCATCCGAAGAGGTTGCCTCCTTATTGTATGGTAGGCGCAGTTGCTTTCCAAAGAATTTACCTGATTCATCAAACGTAAGAAGGGTTTCCTTCTCGTAAGTGATTTGAACTTGGTGCTAATACAGTATGGTAATTATAGAGATTCTTTTCAGGAATGAATGCATTAATAAAATTAAAATTCCAATATTTTCTTTGATCTTACCCGTAGTCGCTCAGTGATTACTTCTTGCCAAAAGGAGTACAGGTTGGATTTGGCACGCTCCAGGTTCACCTTATTAAATAGAGTAGATAATTAGAGTATACAATTAGTCGTTTCAACACCTTAATAAACCGAACTGAAAACACAACAGAGCAGAACGCAATGGTAGGAACCAGGAAGACTCATGATGCTCCAAGACAAGTAACACGTGGCAAGGAGTTTTCCTACCATCACTAGGGCCAGGAAGACTCATGATACTCCAAGACAAGTAGACACGTGTCAAGGAGTTCCCTTACCGCAATTAAACTAGAATTAAATTATTGGAATGAAATTACCTTACTCTCAAAAACTTCCCCTAACGTTAAGTCTAATAGCTCTTTTCCTGCTTGTACAAATCGCTTGTTCCATGTACCATCGAGAGTATTCCACTGATCTTTGAAAGGTGGTGAATTAATGATAAGGGTACGATTTAGTTTCAAAAAATCAACGTATGACCAAAGGCTGGGATCAGTCTCTTCCAAATAATTTAAAAGAGCTATCGAAACGAAACATGATTAGTAGCTAAAATATCTTCCCCAGTATTTCATTACCATTGCTTGCCTGTTCGGCCAGGATATATCTCATCGGTATTGGACATCTTGTAAAAATAGAGAGGAAAATTTTGTAGTTAGATCAGTGGCAGTATTTTGGGGGGGTTTTTTTTTTTTTTTTGTTATATGGGGTGTCGTAAGTTAAAAGAGCCCATTTTTACATTTTTCGAAAAATGAGTTTTTATTAGATTCATATAAATTTTGACATGATTA